TAATTAATCATAGTACTCCCAGGAATTAATATATTTAACATTTTCATTGTTTTCGCCTGAATCAACCATTCCAAGAACTCCAAAAATAAAACAATGCCAAGTGCCTAGCTTCCGTTTGGCCAGTATCGAATAAACCGAAAATTTCTTTGAACTTTTTACAGCTCACTTTGATGTAGTCTACTTTGGACCGGTGTACCATGAACAAAGGAAATCGTTTTATTGCCTGGATGCAGGCTGCTTTTCCTTACGATCTGTTTATGAATTTATAATGGCTTAAATCGGGTATCAGTTGGCCATATGGCCCAAAATTTAAAATGGCTCAAGGTTAATCGTTTCACTTAATGTAATCAATGTCTTGAATGAAGCAAATTATTAATTTCTTACTCATGATATACAGTCTATCTGTAAATACCGTATCACATTCATTACTTCCAATAAAATGAAGTGTTGAAACAGATAAAACCGACAATGACAACAGGTCCCGGCAGAATCCCTGCACTGAATGTCAGATATTGTGCCTATGTTTTGGCTCGTCCTTTGAAAATATTAATAACTATCTTCATCAAAACTAGTACCATCCCAGATCTATGGAAATTATCTAAAGTTCGGTCAATTTATAAAAAAGGGAACAAGTTTGATGTCGATAATTATAGACCCATATCAATAATATGCAACTTCGCCAAAGTGTTTGGAATCCTCATCTATAGCAGGTTATATCCTCATTCGAACAATCAAATTACACTACTTCAACATGGTTTTATGAAAGGTCGCTCGACAATCACCTACCTTTTCAATGTTACCCAATATAATATCTCTGGAACCATTGATAGGAGATCCCAAACTGATGTCATATATACGGACTTCTCTAAGACGTTGCACAGTCTTGATCACGGATTATTGCTATCGAAATTGTACAGGTATGGCTTTTCTCTGACCCTGATCCAACTTTTTATACCCTACTCCACTGGCGACGTCAGTATGTTATATTCAATGGCTTCAAGTCCCTGGAATATGCAGCTACCTCGGGAGTTCCACAAGAAAGCAATCTAGGTCCACTTCTCTTTAACGCTTTCATAAACGACATAGTTGAGGTCATTGACATCAACTGTTTGATATACGCGGTTGACTTGAAATTATATTGTGAGATCAATGGCATCGAGTACTGTCTTCAACTATCCCTCAATCTGAAACGTGTTGAGCAATGGTGTATTCGGAATAATCTTCCTTTGAACGCGAGTAAATGTAATGTAACGACGAACACACTAAAAAATCGTCCATTTTCATATCAATATTTAATATACGATATTCCACTTCAACGGCCTCACAAATTCACCCATCTAGGTGTTACTTTCGACACAAAACTTTCCTTCGTACCACACATTGAAGGCATTCTGTCTGCTGCAAACAGAATGTATGGATCTACATCGAAAACCTTATACTATGCTTTCGTCAGATCAAAATTAGAATATGCATCCATAATATGGCATCCATCTCATCAGTTGTATACAGAGAATTGAATCAGTACAACGTCTGTTCCTAAAACTTCTCTCCTATATCTATCCACCAATCGGATTTCGCCATGATGCATTGTTAGACATGCTATGAATAGCTTCAGTTGCCGTCGTGATTGTCATTCCAGAATTTTTCTTTTTAAACTGATTAATAATTTCATTATTGACCCACATATTCTGCAAAAACTTAATTCCAATGTACCTAGACCAACCTCTAGAGTGGGTAATCCTTTTTATCTGCCAACACCACGCACAAATATTCTGAAACCTTCACCTCTGCATAACATGTGTGTCAAAGGCGATTCTGCAAGTTGTCAGCCCAACATTTTTTACTCTTCCATGTCTAAGATTAGGTATTTTTACTGATTCTATATGCATTGTTTTTATCTTATAACTTATTGTATAGTTCAAATAAAAGATATAGTGCCCCCTACCTTCCAGAAGTTCCACTTTAATAACACACACAACGCGGTACTCATCGCTACATTCTGTTAGTCACATTAAAATGACTTCAAATTTAATTTTATGACTCTTCAGCCAATCATAAAACTCGGTTAGTAAACATTATCGAATACGAACCGCCAATTCTTCAGTCCACGTGGACTAATTCGTTGCGGCATAATTCCTTTGTATTGGTTTTTTTGGCCTTTGACTTCGCCGACACCTTTAAGATTACTATATCGGTTACTTCGACTATAATAGTATTGTATTGTGATTTGAGTTATATCCCTGTTCTTCTTCAATCTTCTAAGTATTTTTTATATAATTCGATGTTCATATAAAAGTAGTTGTTTCTTCAGAAGATTCCCGCATTCCAAAATATTTCTTTCACAAATAGAAATGATTACTGAAAAATTGGCCGATGAATAAATAAAACGGCTGAACTTCATAAATACAAAAATTATATCTTTGTCCCGTAGATCAGCCGGTACAGATCGGCCGTAAAAGAAGATTACATCCGAATTATGTCTGGGAAGCCTAATGGGATAAAAAAGAGTCTAGACGCTTTGTGTATGCATAATGCCTTTGTGTACGCCTTTGAATACCATCCTATAGCGAAACACAGGCCCGGGGTAAAATTTACAGGCGATATTCTGCTATTAAAGGCATATTATACATCGTGACTCACGGTCGATAGTAGGTTATGGTCCAAAACATAGCCTTAATTGAAATTAAGTACATCAGTACTCTCAATTCATGAAAAGTTGATATTTTGTTGATAGTTTGGACAAACTCGAAATATTCAAATAACACCAAGAAATCGACTCCATATCATACAGGGCGTGCTAAAATTACTATTAT